AGCATCTCCAGTTGCTTGACCTGCAACCTCAACAGGCAAAAGCCATCACAGAAGAGCCAGAGCTGCCAGGGGTTCGCACACTGGCTCACCAGCAGCAGCCCTGCTCACCAGCTCCAAGTCCACGGTGGCGAAGTCCTTGCTCCAGCTGACCTCCTCCCCTGCCAGCTGCTTCCACACTAGTGCCGGCAAAGCCAGGATCTGCCAGAGGGAGTGCATACGTCTGTTGTCCCCATGCCCTGCCTTCACCTGAGGACTGAGCCTTTGCCCGAGACATGGCAGCCCTCACCAAGACCCCTTGCCAACCAGGGAGTCTCTGCTGTCCTCACCAGAAACTCCTTGCTCCTCAGGGCTGCTCCTATCAGCTGCCCGATCCACTCATACTTGGGGAAGTCCTTGCAGGAGGGGTCCCTGGTGTTGCTGCTGCTGTTACCCTGTAGGAGAGAGGCTCGAGACCTGTGGACCAGCCCAGCATGGTCCCTCCTGCAGCATCCTTCTCCATCACCCCTCCACCTGCCTCTCCTGCCCTTTACAACCCCCGAGATCTCCACCACCCAGGTACAAGCAGAGACTCCTGGCCTGTAGCCTTACAAGCGTTAAGATAGGACTAACACCCCAAAAAGCCTCCAGGCTCTGCTGGCTGTCTGCCCAGGGCTGGGACGGGCAGACAGCGTGGTGCCAAACCTGGTTGGAGGTGCGCACGAAGAAGGGCAGGGGTATGGGGACATCACCCGAGCTGGGACACAGCTCCTCTGATATGTCTGACAGACTGTCCCGAAAACCACCACCTGCGGTAGAGGCAGAGGCTGGTTAGTTCCTGACATGCCAGGGGTTATTTCCTCACATGCCAGAGCCAGACACTGAGCCACAGGATCTGGCCAAGCTGTCCCCCTCCCTGGGGAAGATGCAAGGACCAGCTCACGTGTGCAGAGAAGGGCTATCTGCCCCACAGAACCTGGGACAGTGTGGGCAGTGGGCAACCCACCGAGTTGTACCCCAACACGAGAAAGCCCAGAAGAAAGCTCCTGGGGCAGTAGGAGAAAGTTCTCACCCTGGTCGATGATGCCCTCACTGATGAACTCACACGTCCACCACTGGTTGTAGGTCAGGGGCCACCTGTGGGGAAGCAACAGCCCCATCCATGCACTCCAAGAGACGGAGCAGCACCTGCCATCCCCCCCACATGCTGCCCTGGGGAGGTGACACCCCACAAATGCAATGCTGAAGACCTACCTGTAGTCCAAGGGCTGGTTGTTCTTGGGACATCCAAGGCCTTCATAGAGCTGGAGAGGAGCAGAGCAGAAAGGGGAGGAGATGTGGTGTGAGCAAGCAATTCTGAACTGGCAGGCACCTGGCACGGGGTATGGTGTGGCCGTACCTGGGTGAAGATGGCTTTCCTGCAGCTGGGGTCCAGCGCAGGGTTGGCGTAGTGCTCCCGGGCCAGGTGCCGGTTGATGTGCAGCTTTGGCGTGTTGTAAGGGTGGCCACTCTCCGAGGAATGCAGACAGTGGGGGGTGAGGGCTGTGT